CTGGCAATTCAGTTTTATAAACAGCAAACGTCTCAGAAAAAAAAAAAACAAATAAATTAAACAACTATTACGATCCGGCTTTATTGATGTTCGTTGATGCGTGCGCGTCGCTGACTGGCAAAAAATATAAATTGTAACAGGTTTAATGACGCGCCCAGTTCGGAAAAAGACATCTACGGAATGTCTGTCATGTCAGTCGTGTGTCATCACACACGTTCTCCTTATCGCTTATCACCTGGATGATTTGCAGCTTCGTAGATCCATAAAAGAGGTGTAAACGATGTGTGAAGCCCATAAAGGACATAACGACTCCACGCGATGTGGTTGTAGCTCTATATTAAATAATCATTTTCCGGTAAATCATGCATCTTAAGAATTTCATTCAAAAAATTATAAGTCGTTTATATAACTCCAATTTAATGAGTTATTAATTTTAATAAGCAGTCAAGCAGTGATTTGTTAAATATTATTACCCATAACAAAAGAACCCATTATATTTCTGGCAGTGTGGGGTAATTTAGAAAGAAGCCTTATTAATATTAATCAGATGTAATTGAAAACCATTCCCATAAACATTCTCCACGTGCCTTCCTATAAAAATATTATAAATCCACCCATCCATCCATCCAATCACATAGGTACATATATCATAAACATTATTTTATTTACCATTCTGATTCTCATCCATTATTTACACTTATCATGCTGATAACTAAAACTATAAATATTTAGGCAAAATCTGGAAAAAAGACTTAGGTGCGATATCACAGGGAGTTCACAGAGGACTTACGGACCCCACTCTCGACTAGACAACAAACTCCGGACGACTGTTCTCCCGGGTAATGAGGTACGGTCTTTGTTCGGTCGGGCATCGAAAAGTCTCGAAGAGCTGGGTGAGGAATCCACCCTTTTCGCCCGGCAGCTCCAACATATTATTCCAAATCGAGTTGGCCGCCGAGGCGTGACCGCGCTGGGAGAGATGGAAACAATCCTCCGAGAAGAATCGCGTATCAGTCTGACCTGAGCGGGTACGGGGAAAGTCCCGGAACTGGGAGAAAGGCTGCACGTTTATTGTAAAAGTCTAAAAACCAGAAATGATAAATAAAACAATTATAAAAAGATTTTAAAAGCAAACTCACCTCCGTGTTAAACTCCTCCCGATTGGCAATCTCGTAGTCCTTGGCTATCCAGCGTTTCATAATCGCCTCCAAGTAGTCCAGCTGGGCCTTGCCCTTGCCCACCAAACAGGGACACTCGAAGCGCAGAGTATTGTAACAAACCGGAGGAAGACCCTGGAGATTGGTAAGGAACCGAAGATTGGGAGCGGGCACCACGTTCAGCATGAGGCGAGGCACGTTGTCCCTGAGGTAGCGGTAGGTCTTCAGCATATTCCGTTCATGCCACTCCACTGTTTTCTCCGGATCCGGATAATAGCATATATCCGTGCAAAAGTCGTTATTTCCAATGAAAAGGGTAACCAATTTCCAGTCCTGGGTCATGTTGACGTTGGGATCGCGCTGCATTCGCTTGACCAGGACCTTGGCCATATATGGCATGTCCCGGGACATGGCTGCCAGTTCGGCTACATCGAAGCGGGATGTCCGATCCGTGGACAACCCATCCTTGATGGCATAGCCATACAACTCCGGATTGAACTCCTTGAGAATGTTGGGCAGCGTAAGGTACTTGCGCCAATTGTATTGTCCTCCAATCGACCAGACCACGCCCCTGTTTTCCACTGTCACATGCAGCAGGTTTGTGGCAAAGATTCCATTGCCGGCGGTCAGAGAATCGCCCATTGCCCCGATCACATCGATGTCTCCGGGTCGAAGTCGATGCACGCTGGTCGGCCGCTCGTCGCTCCGTCTTCCGGGTCCGTGCTCCGCGTCGCAGAACTCCAGTAGGGCTCTGGTTCGTGGATTAGACTTTTGGGTTTTCTACGGGTGAGAGAAATTGGTATCATATCGGTATGAATTGAATATTAATCGCCATTGGAAATAATTTCTTTTTTGACGCCAAAAAAAATCTCGGTCATCAAAATCCGCCTTGATTCACTGGGCTTACCCCTGCATTTCGAACGCGTTGCACGTTTTGTGGATCGTCGCCAGATCGTCCGGTGAAGGCCAGTCCCAGCAATCGGAGGGGACGGTACACATTCTTCAGAGCCACATCCAGTGACGTCCGCTGTGACGTCACACCGCCTAGGAAGATCAGGAAGAGCAGGCCGCAAAAAAGCAAACGACGATGACATGATGACATCTGAAACAAGAGAAAACCAAAAACCAAAAAACGAGATAAGTGCCATGTAAACGGTAACCAGGTCTGTGGGCTCGAATTCTTCGGTCTCGACCACTTTCGGTTTCGTTGGTGACGTCCTCGACTTTGAACCAGTTCCCCTCAGTTTGGCCGAAAGATTACACAGAAGCACGGAGCTCATGCCTCTTCAGTTTATTCACCTTTCGATGTTTTCCTTTTGTTTTGACTTCGACGGCATAGTCGCGGCTAATTTTAACATTTTAGCATTAAATAATATTGACCACAATATGCTAATTTATCATAGCATGGTACAAAATATTTTTGAATCACAAAAGAAAAATAATGACTAATAGAGTTTTGGATGGGGAAGATTTTTTTTGTGATGAAATCTAATTAAGATTAATTGAATTAATAAATGGACAACATTAGCTAAATGTTCTAGAATATGTTTCTAATTATATTTCGATAAGTGTTAAGCCGATTCGAGTCCAAATTTAGTTCAGTAAGTCAACGAAAATCGTTAAATTATTTAAATTATTTTGGATTGCATGCGGAAGTTTCCGCATGGAAGAGGGAACTTAAGCAGAAAAGACGGTCGTCAGGTGGAGAGCGTGCCAAATCCAGTTGTGATAAAGATTGATTTAAATTTCGATTTCGTTTAGCCAAGCGAATTTGCTTCCTTCCAGCGGCACACGAAACAAAAGACTTAGGAAACGAACGCGCAGAAATAGAACAACGCGAAGACATACCTTCATATTTGTGTTTGTATTTATGTCGGAACACTTTATTCGACAACCGCGAATTATAACCGATAATTATCACAAGTCGAAACTGAAATTAAACTGTTGTGCTTCACTATATCGATATAGACTTCTTTGTCGTGTAAATCTTGCAAATTTATTCAAAATTTATATTTCACTAAAATTGCACAATTACACGAGGGCAAAGTTAAGGGCGTGAAAAAATGAAACACCGATGAATTATTCCAGACCAGGCCACAGAGAGGCGATGAGCGTCCGGCTCCGACAATGGCTTAGAACCAACTGCTCGGTAGAATTACTGATTATGCTGATTTTATATGGCCGGGGACCGCAAGTCCCAGCGGCCAGCGGACTACGCATAGAATAAAATGGAATACTACTAAAAACAAAACAACAATAATCGCATACGAGACTCGCGAAACAGAACAAAAGTAAAATAAACCAGCAACAAAATATATTGGCTGTCAGTAAAAAAAAATGAAACGAGAAAAAAAACCTCAAACGGGCGGCTCAGACGGTTAAAACCGCGACAGCGTTGACTGCGAAGCGTTTAATGTGCGATTCGATGTTCACTTTCGTTCAGCTGATAAAAATAGTGTCCAGACGGAGTCTCCGAGTCTCGGAGTCAGTGATGCCGCCAGCCAGCTTACTTTACAGAAACATTAATAAATCAATCATCAAAATTCGGAAGCATGACTAAGAATAATTTCAAACACGCGCGGAATGGAAACTTAAAAATATATATTTTTGTTTTTTATTTTTAATATCTTACCTTATCAGTTAATATGGAAACTTTTGATAATTTATTTTTTGAAAAATAACTTAAAAAACCCGCTGATTCAACAGCTCCGGTCTCGGCCAATACACTTGTCATGCGTGGTGGGGCCTCTCTAGAAATAGCCATACCCATCCTCCGATCGGCCAGTCATCGTGTCTTGCGGACTGAGATAAAATCGGACACTCGCCAGCGAAACTGTTATTAATAGAAGCGCACAGACTTTGGTCCAGACCCCCTAATAACTGCTTATGGGAACGCTAATTGGCCGCATGTATGGGGATTTTTATTCTTTATAACCGGGAATGCTATAAAAGATTCGCAAAAAATAAATTTGCATTTACGTGGCAGATCAGATTCCAATACAATCTTTGCTGCAGGGCAAAAGTTAAGAAACAAGACACTTCCTCTACAAGGAACACAATCAGTACTACGCCTGCTGCAATTGATTAACCTTCGATATACCATATAATAATAACGGCAAAAATCAATTAAAACGAAACAACGAATCTGAAGAAGAAGTAGCAGCCACTTGTTAATAAATCAACGAGACCCGAACGACAAGAAGGAACAGTCGAAATATTAAAAAAAAAAAAAGAGACTGTTCGAAAAAAAATATTCAGCAACATCAAGTTAGCATCTTTACTGATTTATGACGTAGGCAGACAGCCCAAAGATTGTTTCATCTGCGAGAATGGTACACTAGATGTCACTTTGGAGGATGAGTTGATATGAAACTGATTTTATTAGCCGACGGCGTTTAAGTTTTAGATCACTATATTGTCTGTTTGAATTGGATTTTTAATAAAGTTTCAAGTTTTTTACTCAATACAGACTTTAAATTTACTTATAAAAAAACTCTCTTAATTTTATAAAATATTAATATTTAAAGTTTAAACCGTTACTAAGCAAAAAACAAAACTTATTTTTGTTTATTGACATTTAAGCCACGTTTGAAAGCCGGGCTTACGTTTCTACATAAGCTTTTGAAGTCAGGCGCCATCTAGCGGTGTATTTTAGTAGCTCTGAGAGCATAAAAATGCCGATAAATTTTACAAAATCTGAATTATTTAGTAGTTTTTCTTCATTTTTAATTCTCTATATGCTAATATTAACCCTGTAACTTTAACTTTTGAAACAATAGTGAAAGAATTCTTAATTCGTGAAGATATTCTCTTCATCAAAAATAGCTAAAGTTGACGGAAAAATAGCCAAGTTGGCAGCACTGCTGATAAGAGTAGGCATCGGAAAGTCAGCGGAAAATATAAATAGCAGTACGGATTTACTCCAATTGTTAGGCAAAATGACCGCCCTACGCTACATGGGATGGCTCACCGGCTGCTCCGTGCTGACCGCCTTTGTGTCCATTATCTGGCAGGCGTTTCTCTCGCTCCAGTCTCTTAACCGGACCACCGTTCTGCTCTCCGGCCTCTTGGCCATAGAAAGTGGCCTTAAACGAACAGCACTGGAGCCGGCACCCCGAGTGGCTATCGGATATGGCGCCTGTACGGATCTGCAGATAAACGCCACAGAGTTTCTGGATCGTTTTTACGGTCGGCGGATTCCAGTCGCCGCCTCTGCCGGGTCGCGGGAGATTCTACACAACGAGGATGAGCTACTGCAGTCCTTTGCCTACTATTTCCAGAATGGAGCGGCCGCAGAGTAAGTTTTACTTATAATCTCTTGGTATTCCTTGTTATTTACCTTTATTATATCATGCAGACGCGTCATGGCCAATGGTACTCTGTTCAAGCAGCTCTTGGGTTACGCCAAGGTGATGGACAAGGAGACTCTTCAATGGTACATGGGCGGCAATGCCCCGCTGATGGCGGTGCGCTTTTTTATGGAAGGAGCTGACGTTCTATTGGGTGCCCACATGTCCAGAAAGTAAGTCTAGTTTTCATAATTCTTTCTTTTGAAACCATATTCTGTGTAATCCTCGCTAGATTGCGACCCTTGCTGCCCAAGGAGATACGACTGGCTGGCGATGAGATCCCCGACGATGATATACATCTCATATTGGAATACCAGGCTGGCGACACCTGGGGCTCCTATGTGGCGCCCCGAGCTAATCGCTATATCCTTCATAATGACCGTAACAATCCGCACCTTCGGGCCGTGGAGCAATTGACACTGGCGCTTAAGGAATATCATCCGCAACTCTTGGTGGTCAGCGGGCTGCAGATGATGGACATGTTTAGCTTTAATCCTGGCGAGCGAGAAGAGCGCTTGCTGCAGGTGCAGCGCCAATTGACTAGTCAGCCGAATGACACGCTGAATCACTTCGAAATGGCCTCCTATGTGGAGCTACGTTTGCTGCAACAGCTGCGCCAGTTCGTCCTGCCATACGTGGACTCGTTGGGCATGAACGAGCAGGAGCTGGCCAATCTGCAGCAGGTGCTGTCTCACGGTCGTACAACGCTGGCCACTGACTGGAATCCACGGATCGCCCACACCCTCGACCTTATGCGGCAGGTCTTTATTAGCTTGTTGGAGGAGCACGAAGAGAGACGATCCCGCGATCCGGAGAGTCGACGCATCTCACGGATTCACGTGCACACGTTGGCCTACCAGGCCATCCTCACCACAGCCGGCTCCAAGTGGAAAAACACCCGTGCAGCGGCAGCCAAGGCGGCACTGACAGCCCATCGTTACGTCTGCAAGTCGCAATTTGTAAGCTACAGGATTACAGCCTTCTACTTTGCAGATGTAACCATTTTTCCAATTGCAGATTAATCCGGAAGCTGTGCAGCAGGTTTTGGACGATAGCTTTGCTACTTCGGCTCAAGCGGATGCTCCACGTATGCGGATTGGTGCCGCCAGTCCAGTGCCCTGCTGGAGGGAGTACATCGAATTTGGGAAACAACGACAACGCCTGGAGGTGGAGATCTGTGTGGCTCCGGTGCTGGTGTGCCGCGAGGCCAGAAAAACGGCCGGAGCTGGTGACAACATATCCGCCTCGGGGCTGGCGGCTCAGTTGTAGGAACAGAGATGCGACCCGAAAGACTGCTTAGTATAACTAGATACCTGCAATCCAAGACTCGAATAGACGGCCAGGCTAGTTTAGCACCCTAGTGACCTTAGAAACGCGTTACCTTCACACGAATCCGATGCTCAAGAAAGGTAGCCAGAAGAGAACAACGACTCCCATTATCACATATCCACATTAGATATTACCAAGACGAAATGCCTATATATATATTCCATGTGCTCGAAATTATTCCTAAAGCAAGTGCATTCTAGTTCGGACAACGAATGATACCTAGTCCTAAGTTTTGTTAGTCACAAATTCCATGTCTTGACTGTTTTAAGCCATTCCTACTTACAATTTGTTTTGCGCACTTGGTTTTAAACTCGAAATTGCGACAACGATTATGAGGTGCGTTTCCAGTATTTAAGACAGTAAAGGATATAGATTATATATATTTTAAAATTAAGTTTTGTGATGTTTACAAATTTATTTTCTTTTACAAAAGGAGTGTAAGGAGTCGATGTTGTACTTAACTATGATATTTTGATTTTTGACCAGAACACTAATAGCCTTTTCCGTAACTGTCTTAAAACATCGAAACGCACTGTTTACACACATTTGTACGTCTATTTTTATACAATTATAAGTATATTATTGTACACGCATATAACACTGGCAGATGTATGTAGAATAAATTCATGTTAAAAGCTTCAAATTGAAATCGTACCCATTCATCGCAATGCTTAAGCTGGGCTCCGTGGCCTCACCCTCACGCTTCTGTGCTCCTCTGTGGCGACGCTTGGGTTCGGCCGCCAGCATCACCGGCGAGGCAAAGCGAGTGGAACGGGAGAAGCTAGTCCGGAGCTCCAATCGACTCCAGGAAGTAGAAGATCACGGCGTGCCGTGTCTGGAAGAGTGCGGCAATGAACGAAACGAAGGGTTGCTGCTCCGTCACGCCATCGAGGAGGTGCAGCGACGACCCATCGAGATACCCAGCATAGTGGGCGACGAGTCGATCTTCACCATGGACAACCAGCGCCTGAGCTGCCCCCACCATCTGAAGACGGTCCTGGCGCAAGTGTTCTTCGCCAATCGCACCCAAATCGAGAGCGCCGTCAAGTCGGCTATCGCGGCGCAGGGCAGCTGGAGCATGGTAAGCTCCAGCGAACGTCTGGCTATCTGGCGCAAGGCTGTCGACATCATTCAGGCGGACGAGCTGCGGATACGTGCATACCTCATGATGACCCTTAGCAAGACGTCGGAAGATGCCACCAACGACATCCAACGGCTGCTCAGCTCGCTTCGGGCCAACGCCGACTACCTGGAGCACCTCGCTGAGCTACGCTTCGAGATCCAGGGGGATCTTAATGTATTTCCCAGCTTCCACCTACGACCCATGGACGGCTTTGTCGCCGCACTTGCTCCTTTCGAATCGATAGCACTGTCGGCAAGCTTAGCCCTTTGTCCGGCTCTGATGGGCAACACGGTGCTGTGGAATCCCTCCCTTGAGGTGGCACCCGTTAGCTATCTCATCTTCCAGGCCTTCCAGCAAGCGGGCCTACCCCCCGGCGTCGTGAACTTCATCCCATCCAATAGGCGGCTGTTCCTAAACACCGTCACCAATGCCGTGCACTTCTCAGGTCTGAACTTCCATTCCAGTGCGGAGGAGTACAGGTACGTCCACAAGCTGGTGGGCGACAAAATGGATCGCTATATCTGCTTCCCGCGGATAGTGGCCGAGTGTCCAGGACAGAACTTCCATTTCGTCCACTCCAGCGCCAACGTGGACTCTGTTTGTTCAGCCACGGTCCAGGCGGCGTTCGGATATGCCGGACAGTACTCCAATTCATTGTCCCGCATGTATGTGCCCTCGTCCATATGGCACCAGCTGCGGGACAAACTGGTGGATGCCACAAAGAAGTTGCACATTGGCGATCCCGTTCAGCCGGACACGGATATGGGTGCGTTGATCAACATCAACGCGTTCCAACAGATGCAGAAGCTCTTGAAACACACCGAAAGTTTGGGGCATTTGTGTGGGGGAGTGTGTGACGACACCACCGGCATGTTTGTCCAGCCCACGATAGTCCAGGTTAGGGATCCACTTGATCCCCTGCTGTGCGAGCCGTTCTCCGGTCCCTTCTTGCCCGTCTTCGTCTACGCGGACGACGCGTTCAGTGAGGCCCTCAAGCTTGCGGCCAACCAATCTCGCTATGCCCTTTCCGGCTCCGTTTTTGCGGGCCGCGACGAGGTCATCCTACACTGCCTCAACCAGCTGCGGATGTCGGCCAGTAATCTTTACGTGAACGAGCGCTGCACCGGCAGCAACCTGGGACTGACACCGTTTGGGGGCAACCGCCTGTCTGGGACCAACGACAAGTCCGGCTCGGCGTACTTCCTCATGCGCTGGTGTTCGCCGCTGCTGATTGAGGAGACCGTGGAGGGCCCTGTCCAGGCCCAAGGCTCAAAAAGGGTTCTTTGAATCATGGAACCTTTTGGGTATAATTTGTATGTAATAATAAAGACATTCATGTGTGTGAAACAGCGTATTTTTGTTTTTATTTTTTTTATAAATTTATTAAGGGCAAGAATATAATACTTCTATTCTTTTTGAAAATTATAAAAGTATCACGGTATACTTTTATTAAAAATAAAGGCCATGGAAATTTTATCACCCTATTTTTAAGAAAAACACCAAAACTATTAATCAAGAAATAGATAATTATGTTTTACCTATAGGTTTCAACATAATTTAAAAAAAAATCACTTAAAAAATGCAGTTTTGAAAAAATATTCCTTACTTTTGTGCTTTTTTCCCTACTGAACCAATTATTGTTCCCCAAATTACCACAAAAAAAAGTATTTTTCAAAAGATCTTGAATAAATTACATTCAAATTTAAAACATACTTAATTATGTTTAAATATAATTTTTAAAACATTTTTTAAAAACATTATATTACAAACCGGAATACCAGAAATAAACCGATACGTAAAAATATTCGTGACTCGTGACTGGATACTAGAGACTCACGAGTGAGCACGAGTAACCAACCATCCCTAACCCATCCCTAGTTTCACAGTTGTTATCGATAAGCCAAAACTGTAAGAAAAACGTGCGGTGTCGAATTAAATTTTGCTAGGATTTTTTAAGTGAGCAAAAGGTTCACCCATTTATCAATTGTCAACGAAAAACGTGCGTACCTAATCTTCCATATAATCGAGTTAAGATAAAATAAATGTGATATCTGAAGTCAATTTTGGCCGTTCGGTGTTTGCCGTTTGGTGGGAGCGAGAGGGAAGAACGAAGGCCGGACGCTAGAAATTTCCATTCCCAGGCAAAAACCGAATCCATAATTGATGTGAAAGAAACACACACTAAATCGAATGTTCTGGAGTTAATTGTCAAACAAAAAGCAAGCTGATAGCAAGCTCTGGATATATATTTTATCTAATTCTCTCTCTCTGTTGTGTGTGTATATATTTTATTGCAGTACAACTGGTACAAAGAAAAAAAAAGCAGCCAGCGATCGCCAACACAGTTCCGCCCCCCCTCGAAAAATCAAAAACAAAAAAACACAACGAATCAAACAAGAAGCGGTTCATCAGGAATTCTATTTGGAATCGGAAAGCGTTCAGCTTCAAGAGAAACAGAAACATGTCCGTGATTGGCATCGATTTTGGCAACGAAGGCTGCTATGTGGCGGCAGCCAGGTCCGGCGGCATTGAGACGCTGGCCAATGACTACAGTCTTCGGGCCACGCCGTAAGTAACTGTCCGGATTATAGCCCGGTTTATTGATAAGCCTTTCGTCTGCATAATCGTTCGACTTTTCGTACCCCCCTTCCTCCCTTCCTCCCGGTTTTGAGGTTATGTCGAATTTGTAAGTCATGCCTCGGCCATCCATCCATACATAGGTGTGTGTGTGTGTTTGTAAGAGAGCGCGCCTAGAAAATTCCATGGTTGTTATGGGTAACGCTCCAAAAACATGCCATATATATATATATATATATATACTGTACACATACTGATTGGCAAAGGCCTAAATTTGGTCGGCTGCACTTCCATAAAAAGTGTTGCAAATTGCAATTTTTAATGAGAAATCATCGATGTCATGCCGCCGAAGCGTCACTCCACACTCTCCCTCTCTAATTTATTGCCCAGCCTGCTGGCTGCTGGCCGGCCAAACATATTCATCGGTATATGTATTTATGCGTGGGCCCCCGTCTACTTTCGTCCGAATTTACTTTTTTTGGCCCACTCACCCACACAGAGGCCAACAAAAAAAAAATGAGACGATGGATGCGTCATGCGGTCAAGAAGACAGCCAGCATCAAAGGTGTGCGAGAGCGGGAGAGCGGAGCAGCAGCAGCAGCAGCTGTTTAGCGGAGGGGCTCTCGGAGGTGGAAAAAAACGTGTGCCGGCAAACACACACATACACAGTGGAGACAGTGGAGCCCGCATACAGTAAACTCTCCATCTTGAACTATTACTAGTACTCTCTAACCAAAGCTTCACTGCATGTCCATATAAGCTTGATGATACATCACTTGCTAACATTATAAGACCTTCCAAAAACTGAACCTCCATTAACTCTTCATTCTCATCCACCTGCAGCTCTTTTGTGGCCTTTGATGGAAAGAAGCGCATCATTGGCGTGGCGGCCAAAAACCAACAGGTGACCAACATGAAAAACACAGTCGGCGGATTCAAGCGCCTGCTCGGACGCAAATTCAATGATCCGCACGTGCAACACGAACTCACGAGCATTCCAGCGCGCGTGGAGGCGCGCAGCGACGGCAGCATCGGCATCAAGGTCAACTATCTGGGGGAGGATCAGCATTTCGGGCCGGAACAGCTGACAGCGATGCTGTTCACCAAGCTGAAGGAGACCTCGGCCGCCGCCATGCAGACCCAGGTGAATGACTGTGTCATCGCCTGTCCGGTGTTCTTCACCAATGCGGAGCGACGAGCTCTCCTGGATGCCGCCCAAATCGCCGGCCTCAATGTGCTCCGGCTGATGAACGAGACGACAGCGACAGCACTGGCCTATGGTTTCTACAAGAACGACCTGTTCGAGGACAAGCCACGCAACGTGGTCTTCATTGATTTTGGGCATTCGGCACTGCAGGTCAGTGCCTGCTCCTTCACCAAGGGCAAACTGAAAATGCTGGCCAGCACCTGGGATCAGATTGGTGGTCGGGACTTTGATCTGGCCCTGGCCGAGCACTTCACCAAGGAGTTCCAGGATCGTTACAAGATCAATGCCAAGACCAATGCTCGCGCCAATCTGCGCCTCCTCACCGAGATCGAGAAGCTGAAGAAGCAGATGTCCGCCAATAGCACCAAACTGCCGCTAAATATTGAATGCTTCTTGGACGATGTCGACGTCTCTTCGGCCATGCAGCGCTCCCAGATGGAGGAGCTGTGCGCCCCCGTCCTGCAGCGCGTCGAGCAGACCTTCAAGCGGCTCCTAGCCGAGTCCAAGCTGCAGCTGGACGACATCAACTCGGTGGAGATTGTGGGCGGCAGCTCTCGCATTCCAGCAGTCAAGCAGCTTATCGAGCAGGTAATCCTGTCCAGCTAGGGGTGTCTCATCACTGAAATAACCATTTGATTCGTCTTTGATAGGTCTTCAACAAGCCGGCTAGCACCACTCTGAACCAAGACGAGGCTGTGTCCCGTGGCGCTGCCCTCCAGTGCGCCATCATGTCGCCGGCTGTGCGTGTCCGCGAGTTTGGTGTCACCGACATCCAAAACTATGCCGTTAAGGTGATGTGGGATGGCGAGGGCTCTGCCGCTCCCGGAGAGATTGAGATCTTCCCCCAGTTCCATGCCTCGCCCTTCAGCCGACTGCTGACCATCAACCGCAAGGGGCCGTTCAACGTTTCGATCGTTTATGGACAGCAGGTGCCATATCCCGATCAGACGATTGGCGTCTGGAAGATCAAGGATGTGAAGCCGACCGAACGCGGCGAGGGTCAGGACGTCAAGCTGAAGGTTCGCATCAACAACAATGGCATCGTGCTGATCTCCTCGGCCACTCTGGTGGAGAAGAAGGAGGCTGATGAGGCTGCAGCTGCTGCCGAGCAGGCTGGTGGCGAGGAGAAGCCCAACGAGCAGGCTGGAGGGGCCAACAATGGCGGTGAGCCGACCGATGGCCAGCAGGAGGTGAGTTTCCAGTTCCTCATCCAACATCCAATCATCTTATTTTGCGAATTAGGAGTCTTGCTCTCAAGTTTATTATTTCCTTTTTTTTTTTAGTTTTTATTTTTAATTTTTATACTAACTTAATACTTACTACTTAATATTTGGTTGTAGAAACAAGGCTAGGACATGTATGACTCGATTGGGGTAAAGCTTTTATTTTGTTTCGTCCGTAACCCACCTCCACCAGGTGACTTTGTCCGTCCGTAAGAAGTATTATTATTTATTTTATGATTTTTTATTTTTAATAGAACTATTTATTTTTTATTTTTAAACATTTAAACCTCTCATCTGAAATGGTTCTTCAATGGTTATAGCTTCCTTAAGACCTATAGCCATTGAAGATCTTGCTCTACATCCGCCCTTAGAATAAATATAGATTATAGAAGACTATATAGACTATATATAGAATGTGTAGTTGTGATATAAAACCATTCATATATTTTTACCAAAAATAAGAAAAATCAACCATTCCAATATTTTTGTTTGTTTGTTTGTTTTGGATATTATTGCGAACGCAATTAGGCATATTGTGAGAATGAGGATGATAATAATGCATCAACAGCCTCATCGCCTGGCGGACAAGGGTGGGCACAGCGGGTCAAGGGCTGGTTTGGTTCGGTACGTTTTCCTCAAATTTCCTCAATTTTTAATTCAATTTTCAAATCAAAAAATTAAAAATGTTCATTTATTTGTGTATTTTATGAAATTGGAATCTAAATTATAAGTACGAATTGTACTCTTGAATATTATGTAAAATGTTTACCAAAAAAAAGAAATGAAACGAATGAAGAAGACCGCTCATAAGCCGCCTACCCTATGTGCTCCCTCAAATCAAATAATTTAAACAATCTTTATTATTATTTTATAATAATTTCCCAACATACCACCAGTGCGCTCAAAATTTCAATTAAAATGTTCTCTCGAAAACCCCAACAACCTCATATATTGTAGGCTGTTGCTTGGAGCTGTGTTTCCTTCCTCTTCGCTTTATTGACAATCTTGCTCCTCCAATTTCCAATCTTCTATTGAAAATTCAATTGAAACTAAATATATTTTAAATTTAATTGATATTCTTATCTATTTTGATATTTAGGGCGCTGACAAGAAGAAGAAGAGCGCCAAGGCCACTGAACTGCCACTGGAGGTGGCCACCCATGGCTTCAGTCCTGCCGATCTGGGCAACTACACACAGCAGGAGGCGAAAATGATTGGAAACGATCAGAAGGAGACCGAACGCATCGACGCCAAAAATGCCTTGGAGGAGTTTGTCTATGACATGCGCAACAAATTACAGGTATTTTTTCTATAATTTTATTATTAATTTTAATATATTATATGTATATTATATGCATCTTTGTAGGGTGGTCCCTTGGAACGATTTGTGGTGGAGCCTGATCGTGAGGCCATTGTCTCCCAGCTGAATGATCTCGAGAACTGGCTGTACGAGGACGGTGAGGACTGCGAGCGTGAGACTTATACCAATCGCCTGCAGGCGTTACACCAAAAGACCGATCCCATCAAGGTGCGAGCCAACGACTATGACCTTTGCCCGGCTGTGTTTGATGAGCTGAAGGCCAGCATTGCCAACGCTCGTCTAGCTGTGGCCGAGTTCCGCAAGGGCGTGCCCAAGTACGATCACCTCACGGAGACGGAGTTCATCAACATTGCCGAGACGGCGGATAAGGCACAGAAGTGGCTGGACACTAACCTGGCCAAGTTCACCCAGTCGCCGCGCACCGTCGACAGTCCGGTCCAGGTTTCGGCAGTACGCCACGAAGTCCAGGCTCTTAACGTCTGTGTTAGCTCGGTGATCAATCGTGCGAAACCGAAGCCGGCTCCGGCCAAGACGGCGACGCCGCCCAAGGACTCTGAAGCGAATGCGGAACAGAATGGCGGTGAGCCAACTGCCAATGCCGGCGATAAAATGGACGTGGACAACAATGCCCAGAACGCCGCCTCCAGCGACCCAAACATGGACGTCGAGTGAGCTGATTGAGCAGCTGGCTTCACGGCATTCAACGGTATTGGCTAACGATAATGATAATGATAAACGTAATGATAATAATAACGATAACTTTAACGGTAAACATATATGAAAGAACATTTGTATATGCACTTGCTTCAGGACTAGCAGAAAATAAATGAGAAAAATCCAACAGAAACATCCAAACAGCCGGAATACCAGTCTACAGATAGTATAAGAGAGTAATTAGATTTTATGCAGCCGCCGGAGCTGGTGGATCCGGAGACGGATGAAGCACTGGTGCTGGTGAAACCTACTACCTGTACTAGAGAAACAAAAACGGAGCGTGTTAGATGTGTGGCTGCTGGAGACATATAAACCTAAAACAATTTCTAATCGACCATTTTTCATATATTTGAATAACAAAACAAGTAAGGAGACCCCAAATGAATGGAATTCAAATAATCAAATAAAAACATTGATAATTCCAATTAAATATTTCGTGTGTGTGATTTATTTTATTTTAATTAAGAGGGGAGGCTTCTACCTTGTAAAGTAGATAGGATAGGGTACATGTATGATACATGTAGATGTACAATCAGGATAGATATGTACATGTTTCAATTAGGTCAGTATTCAAATATTAAAACGTGTCTATCTCGAAACCCTTTTTTTAGACGGTTTGTGGAAGTCCTACAGGTCGCAAACTCCTCTGAAGTATTCACATCCTTAGTACGCATATGCTTATTCTTATCTTTTATCGCTTATTCATCTTTTAAGATTTTTTTTACCGACGATACGACGTTGCCATTATGGAGTACATACCCCTCACTTGGATTACCACCAAAAAAGTTGTGTAGCTTCAATAAACTGTACTCTACGACTGACTAAATTTTAGTCACTAAAACATCATTCTAATACCTATCATATTTTCCAAGAAAAAAATTCCAAAAGAAACAGCAGGTTTTTGGGAAAACAAGGTAGAAACCGACCTTAAGACCTTAGGAACACCAAAGTTGGGCTTCTACGAATACAAGATTACCGAATACCGAAATTATAAACACTTATTTTATAAAAAAAAATATCTTTAATAATTCAATTTATAAAATTTACATGAATTTGAATTTTTGATGGTACCTTAACCAAAGTCAACCTGCAAATAATAATAAAATTAATATAAATTTTATTTATTTAAAAAAACACATCCACCTGCAATTTCGTTTTAAATATCTTGCTGTTGTATATCTCTTTTATAAGCGCAAATTTTAACGATGCTTATAATATGAAATACTAAAGTAATAAAAAAAATTAGTACCAAAGAGTGGTTAATCGAAATATGTATGTATATATATACCTAATGGAAATACGAGAATAAAATATAGTGAGGGCCAAAAGTAGCTACAAATTTTTCCAACCTCAATGCAGTACATTCTCTGAAACTAGAAGAAAATACATAATTATATTGAAAAAATCGAGATTGTTTTAGCAGCTCACCATTATTCCAAATAATAAAAAAAATCCAGCGATGACATATAAGAAGGATACCCCCAGCATAAAGGGGGCTCCTGTTTTAATGTCAAAATGATTCTCAAATGATGCCATACCTAGAAATAGGAAAACACACCCTACTATAATGCAATATATTGAATAAAATATGCCGCACGCCTTGTTGGGTATGCTTGGGAAACATTCTAGCCCGGATCCCTCTTGCTCATGCACATTTTTGCACATTATATTTATTCGGTATTATATTTCTTTTACTAACAATATTATCCAGATTAAGAATTTAGAAATATGTTACCATGGTAACTGTGATTTGAAAATAAACAGGTAGTACGATAATATTATACATAAGTCATATAATACATAACACACAAGTCTCACTGAAGATGCACCTTCTTGAATCCAGAAAATAATTTCAAATAAAATACCACTCCTTATCATTGCATTTATTTTATCTGATCATATATTTAATAATGATAATACGATATATTTAATAATAATATCTAGTTCCAGAAAAACTGTTTAATTTGGGATTTAATAGACAGGAGCAGATCAGATAAGATATCGATTCGCTTGATCCTGATTCTTCAGAGGCGAGGGTGACCACAGCCAGGTTATTTCTAAAAATTTCATCATTACCTCCATATTCCAGTTAGCTTCTCCAGGCAGAATTGATTGACCCCTTTCAGTCAATGCACAACCTCATATTTTCCAAACACTCTAAGCTACCATTAGATATTTATAAATTAATTTTATATAAAAGAATTACTTACAATATAGAATAAAACACCTCCAAGTGGAGCCTGTCCGAGTGTATTTAAGATCGCCAAAAAAATTTATACATATAGGTCCTGACAATAATGACAATCAAGACCCATATGTATAAATTTTTTCAACCTAAAAATTTTTGAAACCTTTAAAATAAAGAAAGCGTTGCATGAAAAGCCTTGAAGTTGAAAAATATGTATATGATATTAGTAACATACCTAGTTATCCAAACAGTTCTTCTTTTAGAGGACAAAGTCTGAACACGCTTATGATATGGACAACTAAAAGCAGAAATTTAGAAGAAATAATAATTAATCCAATAATACTATAAAATATGTAACTTACTTAATGGAAAGATGAAAGATGCATAAACTATGGGCCAGAAGTAGCTTAGCACCTTCCCCACTTGGAACAACGTCTTCCTTTGTTTCTAAATTGCACGAGGTAAATGACTTAATTATTTATAGATTTAATTAGTTACTTACCAAGATTCCAAGTAATAACAAAATTCCCGCCACTATGTATAAGACCGACACCACAGATTCAATGATGGATAAAAATATAAAAAGCATATCGTTGTCGTTGATCGATTCTACTGTGTTCTTCACACCCATCCCCATCCAAAAAGTTCCCATCACGATACAATAAATGGAATAAAAAATTCCGCAACCTCTTGCCGGAATACTAGGGCACGATCCTTCCTCGCACATTTTTGTAAGATACGTGTACGTGTGTAAGTGTTTGAAAGTTAAAGTTTAACTGAGAAAAACTTATTCATAAAATGAAATGTTTTTACCCAGTCAACTGGGATGAACAAATATTATATCCTTAATAAAATAATACCAATAATAAAGATACATTCTTTCTAATGAATTTCAACCTTATATCAAATCTTTACAATTATTTAAATCAAGATTAACTTTAGTACTTAAGTACCCCTTTCAAATATGCGAAAAAAGGAATTGCGAAAATGTTTAAAAAATTGAGAAAATAACCCAAAAATTTTGTCGCAAAGGTTTTATTGGGAAGGACGATACTTGAAGTTCTGAGATCGGGAAGGTATAAAATTTTTGGATGGGCCAAGTATTGACCAAGCTATACAAAGTTTTATAATCCGAAAATTAAAATTTTGGAAGCACACTTTAGTTTTTATTTGTTTTTCTAAGTCTGAACTTTTCATAAACATTTTATGAAATATTTTATCTATATCTTAACCGATTTAAAAACGGAATACATTTATCGGGTTACCATTATGGCAAAGATCATTAAATTTGAATAAATATGTAATAATGATTTTTCTTCTGGATATTATTGAATGCAAAGTATAACCCAAGTTATGGCCAAAATGGAAGGTACAAAAGCCGCAAAAAGGTAATACAATATAATAGACAAGTTCGTAAAGATACATTGATTTTTTTGAATTAATGCAACTAAGAATACAATGCGTTAGGCCTTATAGTTTCACCAAATTGCATTACTTTGAAATCTAAAAATAATTTCAATAAAATACCACTCCTTTGCATTGCATTTATTTTATCTGATGCATAATATGATATATTAAAAATAATTTCTAGTATTATGAAAACTGTTTCAGGTATTTAATTTGCAGTTAATAGACAGTAGAAGATCAGATAAGATATCGATTCTTTTGATCCTGATTCGGGCGAGGCGAGGGTGACCACAGTCAGGGTTTTTATGAAAATCGCATCATTATCTTAGTCTATTTCCAGTAAGCTTCTCCAGGCAGAATTAGTTGTCCTCTAAGATTATTCAATCAGATATTTGTAAGTTATTATTATATAGAAGAATTACTTACAATACGGAATAAAATATCACAAGGGGAGTCTGTCCCAGTGTATTTAAGATCGCCAAAAATTGCTTTTTTTAAAGAAATGTCTATGATATTTAGTAACATACCTAGTTATTCAAATAATTCATCTCTTAGAGGACAAAGTCTACACACGCTTATAATATGGACAACTAAAGGCAGAAATAAAAAAAAAAATATTTAGTCTAATAAAACTATAAAATATGTAACTTACTTAATGGAAAGATGGCATATGCATAAACTATGGGCCAGAAATAGCTTAGCACCTTTCCTACTTGGAACAACGTCCTCCTTTTTTTCTAAGTGGCACGAGGCTTAATTATTTAATAATTAATTTATTTACTTACTTACCAAGATTCCAAGTAATAACAAAGTTCCCGCCACTATGTATGAGATCGACACCACAGCGTCAAAGAAGGATAATACAATCTCTATATCTTTGTGGGTGCTCGTTTCTAATTGAAATGCGTCTACTATTTCCAATACAGACATCACCAGCCAAATAGTTCCCATCACAATACAATAAATGGAATAAAACATTCCGCAGCATCTTGTTGGAATACTAGGGCACGATCCTTCTTCGCACATTTTTGTAAGGTACGTGTATGTATGTAAGGGTTTGAAGGTTAAAGTTTAAAATAAAAGTACACATAAAACGGAAGCCATTTTCCCAGTCAACTGGGATGAACAAATATTATATCATTAATAAAATAATAATAAAAGGCCAATAATAAGTCTGTGGCAAGGTAGGGAATAATATGGAATGATGCTGCTTGGAGTTCTGCGATCGGAAAGGTATAACATTTTTAAATGAGCCAAGTATTATCCGAATTATGCCAATATTTATATTTCAAAAATTAACATTTTGAATCAAGGTTCTGATTTTTATTTTGTTCTGCGGAGTCTGAATTTTTGAATTAGGAGCTCTATTCCCTTCGCACTATGTACCAACAAATTAAGCTTAAATTCGGCTAATATGTATATACAAAAAATCACTGTGAAAAATATTTCTTCTATAAAGTAAAATATTTTTTCTTATGGTTATTATTGAATATAATGGTACTCAAAGTTCTAAAACCTTATAAAATTCACCAATCTG